AGAGAGAGAGAGAGAGAGAGAGAGAGAGAGAGAGAGAGAGAACCAAATGCAAGCTCATTTCTGAGGTGACATCTCCAACCAATTTTACAACACTTGTGAGCTTTTCTGAAACTCCAAGAATACAAAAGCCTAAATTAAATTAAAGCCCCTAATCTGCATCATCACATTCTACTAAACCCAAAATAAACACCCTAACAAAAAAGAAGAGAGAGACAGAAATCACTACAATATAAAAGTAGAGAAGAAAGTAAACCACTACAATCCAAACCTTCCCACTCCATCCTTCCAATGCGAAGTCCCCATAGGACATAGTAAGGAAGGAAGAATCAGAACTAGAAACCATAATTTAAAAAACTAATTTTTTTTTTTTTTCAAAAGATCTAGAGAGAGAGAGAGGCCAACATTCAGAGGACTGAGAAAGTGATCATCCCTTGATAACCCCACAAAAGAAAAACTGCAAGTAAGTGAGAGTAACCAAGATTAGAGGAGTGAGAAAGTGAGAAAAAATCTCTTGAGAAACCCCCAAAAGAGACAGTGTGTGTTTTAGAGAGAGAAACTAAGATGATGCCTTCTTTGCGAGATTGTGCTTGTTGTTATGCATCCAAACCTTGAGAACCCTCCTCTTGACTCCAATCTCTTGGCAAAACTGCTGGACCACCCCTTCCTCCTGCTTCTGAATCCTCCACCCAACCTTCTCTGCAAAACTCAGCATCTTCTCCTTCTGCTCCTGTGTGAATTTGGTCCTGAACCTCTTCTTCACCATTAATGGAGCCCTAAAGCTATTTTCTCTCTCTTCATGCTCGTCGGATTCAGAGGGCTGGTGGTGGTGGTGGTGGTGGTTGTGGGGCGGCCCCAAATTGTAAGACACCATCATCGGCGGCGTGGCCATGGCTGGTGGAGGCCTCTGAACGAGAGGCGGAGTCGGGTAGCCGTAGGTTTCGGGGCCTGTGGAGATGAGAAGGCCACTCTTTTTTCTGGATTTCAAGAGGAAGCAACTCTCACATGGAGATGGGGTATCTTCCCCTTCAGTTTCCTTTCTATGGAAGTTTCGATGGCAGTTGCAGACCGAGCATTTGAGGGATTCGGGGGTGCCTTCAGGGCCCGCAGCCATGAATTCTCCGCATCCATCGGTGGCATTGCCCCCCATTGAAGCTGCATGGTTCCTGAGGCACTCTCTGTATTTTGGGGTGCTGTTTTTTTTGTAGGAGTGGAGGTCTTCTCTTTCTCTCTCAAGAGTCTGGGGGCCATTGGTGGAGGGGATGATCTGGTGGTGGTTTGGGGGCGGTGGGGAGTCATGGATGAGGTGGTGGGCACTTGGGGTGTAGGTGGTGGTTATGGGGATTGGCATGGATTCATCCATCTCTCTCTAGCGATCTCTCCCTATGAAGCTAAGTTTCTCTCTCTAGGAGGGGGGGGGGTGAAAGGTAACAAGTGGGTCTCTCTCACGCTAGATGATTGATGGAAGAGGGTTAAATTCTCCTCTCTCTAGAGTAGGTCGTAATTAGTGAAGTATTGAAATTGGGTCTCACTCACTTTTCTCTTTCCAATTGGCTTCTCTCTCTCTCTCTCTAGGTGGACTGGAACTTTTGCAATTGGGATGACTGTGACTGTCACATTACAGGTTAAGATAGAATTAGAGAGGTCAAAACTCTCTTTCTCTCTCTAGGAGTGAGGCTTAAAAGTGTCGCAATTTAGGCTCCCACCCCTCAAGCTATAGAGACTAAAGGGAAGGTAGGGGATCAAACCCACTCTTTCTCTCTCTAGGTGGGAGGGACTGAAGTGTTGTTACTGTGACTTTCTCACTCTACAGGCTTGATGGAAAGGAGAAGTTCCAGTACTGCTCCTTTGCAAATTTGAATGTGCCCCTTCTCAATCTCTCTAGAATTGGAGGTGTTGCAATTTAGAAGCCCCTTGCACCGCAGATAGAAAAGGTCAAAAGCCACTCCTTTTACTTGGTATTTGGTGCTCTTTCCCACTCTAAACTTGGAATTTCTTTCTCTCTCTATCCAATGTGAGAGGAGTAATCAGTTAGATGGAAGAGACAGGTGACAAAACACACCCTGAGCTGCACTCTCTTTCTGCAGATTAGATGGAAGAGACAGGTGAGATATAGACAAATGAGGCCTCTCCTCACTACACTCTCTCTCTCTAGAGATTAAGCAACTATTCTTCTCTCTCTCTCTAGATTAGAAAGAGAAGGAATTGAGCTCGAATGGATATTAAGTAAAGCAAATTCAGAAGCTAGTAATAAAAACATTCATCAGGAGGAGGAGGAAGTGCTTGCCAAATCTATTTTTGGGCGTGAGGTTCAAGACTCTGAAGACTTTCTCTCTCTAACTTTTTATTACTATTTTTTCAGAAGGAGAGTACCATTTCACACCAGAAACAAAGCTTCAACTCTTAAAAGCTCCAGAGAGAGAAATCTCTCTCTCTAAAAACAAACGGATTGGAAATTTTCGGACCGATAAAAGAGAGGGAATACTGAGAGGAGAGAGAAAACCCAGGTGACATTTTTTGGATGGAAGAAGATCATTGGAACCAACCTTATGATTTCTAGAGAGAGAGAGAGAGAGAGAGACAGAATGATATAAAACCTTGTGATCTCTGAAGAGAGAAACTCTGGGGCACCACCCTTATGATTTCTAGAGAGAGAGAAAGTCCTAGTGTTTGTATTACTTTGTAAGTCTAGTCTAGAATTGCAGAGAACCAAACTGTAGAGAGAGGAAGAGAGAAGTTATTTACCCAAATGAATGGTTTAGTACAATGTGGGTTGGTCAGTTGGTGTTGCACTATTGAGAGAAAGTAAGACAGCAACAATGGCAAAACAGTCTCTCTCTCTATCTAAATTGAGGGAGAGGAAACCTGTAATGAGAGATGTGTAAATGGGTTTTTTCTCTCTAAAAGCTAGAAGAATTGGCTATAAGACAAGCTCACCTGATCATCTCAAGAAGTGGTGATCAGCCATTAATGGGCATGAGAAGAAATCACCATCTTCTTTCTCACTCTAGGGAGCGAAGGAGGGTTTATCAGGTGTAATCAGTGGGATGTGGAGAGAGAAAGAGAGGAGATTTTTATGAGGAGGAATAGAGGGGAGATGGGTTTTAGAGAGGGGGAGGGGGTTGAAAGGGGATTTGAGAAGAGAGAGTTATTGTTTGCGGTTTTGGGTGGTCAGCCATTTAATCCTCACGCTTATACCACTGCTAGAGAGAGAAAGGGCGGTGATGATTTCTAGAGAGAGAGAGAGAGAGAGAGAAGGGTGGTGATTTTTAGGGAAGGGATAAAAAGGTAGGGTTTCTTGCTTTGCTTGCACTATCAGCCAACGAGCTTACGCCATACAGGGGGCAGGGTGTCAGAGCGAGGGGGGAGAGAAACCAAAAGTTGGAAAAAATGAATGAATTTAGAGAAGAGAGTGAGTTTAGAGAGAGAGAGAGAAACAGAATTTAGAGAGAGAGAGGAGACAAAAAGCTAGAAAACCAGTACAATTCGAATTTGTAACTCTGTGAGAGAGAGAGAGAGAGAGAGAGAGAGAGAGAGAGAGAAGAGAGAGAATTTGGAATTGAGAGTGGGAGAGAGGAGAGAGAGACAAAAAGCTGGAAGTAAAAATAACAAGATCAAAATAATTCCGCTTTTGTAACTGAAAGAGAGCAAAACGCTAAAAAAACAAAATAATATTAATTTGTACCGATGATTTAAACAATAGATCGGTAATCAAGATCGGGCATCGTACAAATCGGTTTGGATCGGGGAATCAGCAATCTAGATCGTTGTTTTACTGTGTAAAAAAATAGTAAACCAACAAAAAAAAAAAAGTATAAAAATAGTGAACCGATAAAAAACCCGTCCGGTGACTCGACATTTTTATTGTAGCAAAACATCGTTTTTATTGTAACAAATCGTCGAGACAATTTCCTATGTATTAACATAATCGGCACGGGGTGACTGATTTTCGGCTCAGACTGAACAATTCCATGCCGACCTGATATTTTTTAAATCACTAATTTGTACTGTACGAGAGAGACCAAAAAAACTAGAAAATAATCCGAATTTTGTGATTGAGGGAGAGAGAGCAAAAAGCTAGGGAAACAAAATAATTTGAAGAGAGAGAATTTTAATTTTGTAAATAAGCCCCATAGAGACCAAAACTTTGAAAAACAAAGGTATGGATTATACAATGGATGCACTCTCTATAATATCTAGGATTTATGAAAACAAAGTAAAAGTCTAGTCTCGAATCCTCACTCGAAAAGCACTATGGGCATAAAAAATTTTTGGTGGCTCTAAAATTAATTTCCAACACCAACAATGAAATTTATAGTTCATAAAATAGTATAGATATTACGGATCCGCAGTACTTATTTTTAGGACAAAATGAAAGGTTTCAATAATGTACTATAATATATATTAGTTTTAGGGATTGAAATCATTAATTTTATCATAATTATATGATCAAGGCTGAGATTATTGATCTGAAGATTTTTTGACGCAAGAACTACAAATTTCAGGGATGATAATGCAGCAGCCCTATCAAAATATTTTCTTTATACAATTGGCCTATGCGCTCCACATAAATTTGTACTCATTCATAAATACGACGATCAACCTTGCAAAACACAAATAATATAAAATAGAAGAGCGCATATGTATATTGTACACGTACTCACAAGGAGTATCATTGTGCTTTTTTTCTTCTATATGTTTGTTTTTTTTGCTTAAATTCATTGTCCTCTTTTACGTTATTTTGAAACTGCACGTGTAAATGTACACTTGAGCTTGCATGCATGCGTGAGAAATATGTGCACACGTGTATTTGAGCAAAGATGGAGATTTAATTCCATTCTTAAAACAAATGCGCACGTGTAACAAGTACTTACCTTTTTTAATTTGGACTCAGTTTTCGCATATGTAGAAATGCGAGCCTCTTAATAAAACTATTTTTGAGATAAATTTTAAGACTTAATTTTTAAAGACATGTAATCTCTAACATAGAGATCATAAATATGAAAAAATAAACAAAATTTAAAAACTAAAAATAATAATTCTAGTAAGAAGACATTTGGACCGATAGTTTTCATTGTTTTTAGATGGAACACCTACTTGCATTCATCTTTAAGATGGATGCCTTTCTAGACCGCATACGTAGAAATGCAATCCAACCCGGATGAAACAATTTCCTTTAATTTTAGTAATATTGAAAATAAGCTATTGAGGCAAATGGAATCACACACACACATATATATATATATATATATATATATATATATATACGACCTACTACTACGTACTTACTACTACTTATATAGTACCTAACTATAATAAGTATTAGTAACTTAGTTATTTTACGTACCTATCGTACTTACGAGTCTAGTAGTTAG